ACAGTGCAGCTCGTGCTATAGCTGGGAATTCCTTTAAGCTAATTGAAGATGTTTTCTGAAGGGGTTTGGTTTCTTTGTGTTCTGAATAATTGATCAAGTTTCATCCACTTTCTTCTGTGCACTCAGGCTCCAGTTTACAGTCACATATTGGCTGTCATAGTTTCATGTTGCATTTCTTTGGTTGTTCCAGCTTAAAAGAGTTCCTGTGGTGCTCAGGCCAGAGTTGGCAGTGAGTATCATGAGTTGTGCTGGCATGACTGTCTGTGGATCTGCCTTAGGAACAGGATTATTTCATTTTGTAAACTCTAGTTTACTGTTAGTGGAGATGAGAGCACAGCCTGCTGCAATTTGTGAGCTTGCAGGAGTGGTCAGAGGTACATGCAAAACCATTAAGGTGCCACAGCTGCCAAAAATCTTATATGGAGCTGCTGCCTAACTTGTTTATCAGTTAAAAATACTTTTAAGAGCCGATCCTTTTTCGTTCTATCTTTAAATAATTAGAGTTGTGCAAATCAGCAAATCATCTTACATCATCTTTTGTTCTTTCTGTCCGTCTGTTTGCAGTCTCACATGAATCACATCCTTCTTCACTCCCTCTGCCTTGCTAATGCATGAAATACAATATTTTCTCCTTTCTCATTTGTACTTTTCTTGTACATCATTCTTGTTCTCAGACAGAAACTGTTCTCACTTGGACACGTTCACAAAATGCTGCTGTATCAGTCCTCCCCTGGTGACCTGTTTTCAGTGCTCTCATTGTCATATTTGCACTTGCCATTTCCTATTAGCCAAAAAAAAAAAAAAGGTAATTTATCAAAAAAATAAAATAAAGGACACAGACCCCATTAATTGTCCTTTTCCTCTTATACATATAACTTGTATTTCAATCCATTCTAATTTTTACTTTTTTTTTTTTTTTTTTAATAAGAGTAGAAAAAGGAATGGATTTTTTTAGAGCCATCAGTGCTTTTAATTCCTTTAGTCCTTTGTTGTTTTTCCTCTCCATCTCCCAAATTATAACAGGATAAAGGCTCTTAGAGATATGTTCTTTTATACTTTCACTGTGATAGATAGTAGTAGCAGGGTGGCAAGTGTCTGCGTTGCAAATAGGAGAGGATGTATTGCTGTGGGACATGCTTTTCACTGATCAATTTGTTTTCACAAATTTCTGTTCTTTTTGGTTGGCTTCTGGATTCCTAAAAGTTCTAAGGTGAAAGCACTTAGTAAAATGTCAGGTGGACTTCAGTTTCTAATTCTGTTCTCTGATAGAATTTCTTAGATTTTCTTGACTATTTAGATATTTTTAGAGTTTCATAGATTTAGCAATTTTTGCTAAATTTAGCCATTTTTGGAAGAGAATATTTAAGGTAGCATAATAAACAATTCTAGGGCTTCTAGGCAATCTGTATTTAAAACAAAAAACCCAAACAACCCTACAGGCTAATGTTCATGCAGCAAATGTCAGTGTTTTAGCTTGGCAGCTAACAGAGAATGTAACATTATATTTTTCACAGAGTGGTTTGGGTTGGAAGATTGTCTTGTTCCAAGCCCCCTGCCATAGGCAGAGACACCTTTCACTGGACCAGGTTGCTCCAAGCTGGCCATTTTTTTGGTAATACATTTATTGTTCTGAAATTGTTTGTGGACAATTTAGTGGTTTTTAATATTTGTTTAATAGTGTAATAAAGGCTTTTAGAAGTACAGTGATTTCTTTATGTCTAACAGACTGCAGAATTGACATTAATATCCGTCATTGCACTAACAATTTCTCTGTGTTCAAATACTGTGGATTTTTTTAACCATGCTGGTCAGTGCATTCTAGTTTCAATGGCTGTTTTCTGTTCAAGTCATGGATGCTTTTATTTCCAGCTCTTCAGAGTCCCATGAAAAACATTTGCCAAAATGGTGCTGTTTGCTTTAGATAGGTGATTCTATCCTTTGTGTGCATGTGTGTATGCACAGCCATTTTTTAATTGATCTGGAGAGGGAGGTCTGGCCTCATAGTCTGAATGTCTGGAATAGAGTCAAGAAAAGATGAAAAGGGAGACTTCCCAGACTCGTGAATTGTAGTCTTTTTGGGTTTTTTAATAATGGTCTCCTTAATTACTAGATGATTAATTTGATTTTTCAGAGCAAGGAAGAGTTTTTTGTCAGTTGAAAATATTTTCTTAATTGCAATTGTTATCCAGATGGATTGGGGAAATGGTTAGCTCAGTGCATTTTTATAGTTTGTAACCATTACTTAAGCATTGTTTTATTCCCAGAGTCTCTTTTCTTAACCTGTTCTTATCTTTACTGTTCCACCCAGGGCTCAGTAGTCAGTTTTACATAAAAATATAAAAACCTACAAATATAAACTTTGATTGGATACTAATTTACTTTCTCTTTTTTATTACCACACAATTTACAAGTTGTTTTTGTCCGCTCTCCCTCTTTCTCTTTGTTATGCTTCTGACCACAAATAGGTAAGCAGCTCAAATAGGTAATTATTTCCAAAATGGGGCATCTGGTGATAATTAATCTTATCTAGAATCTGCTTCTCAGTGGAATCTAATTAGATTTGTCTTTAGGCAGTTGGTTTCTCTTCCTTCAATTTGTAATGTTAGTGTTTTAAAAATTTTTTGAGTGCATGTTCTTAATCTCCCAGCATCATATATGGTAGTCTGTACTATTTAAATAAATACTGGACCATTTATATTCTTTTTTGGGGATGAAATAGAATGAAAAATGAAAATGTATTTGTTATTCTGAACAGATATGTCTGCTACTGATAGTTTTTCATTTTTTTTTTCTTTCACCCTTTTATTTTCAATGAAAGCTGAAGTTCTCTCAGGGCATCCATCTACTTTTAAGAAACACATCAAAGACCATTAAGCATCCATACTGTGTAACTATTTCATTAGTTTCAAAGTACCAATTAAGGATGCCATTAATTTGCTGAGTAGTTGGTAGTCTGATAGTTTTATCACTAATTCTTGGATTAAAAATGAAAAAAATCAAAAATCACAGAATTATGCTTGACTAGTGGTGAAATTGAGTAGATGTACACGTGTATTCATGTTCTAACAGGAAAATTCATACAGGAGGAGCCTTGTTGATGTTTTGATCAACTGTGCAGCAACAGTAATGGATAGAGCTGAGTTTAGTCAGGGGTTGAGGTGAAGTTCACTGTGTGGCACAGATTAGGTGTAAGCTTTCCATCCAACAGGAAAGGCTGGTGTGGCTGTAAGGGATGAGGCAGCTGTGAACCACCTCAGCACTACCTGCCTGGATGAACTGATGATTGTAAAAGTTGCTCAAAAAGATGCTCAAAAAGACAGGAACTGTCCTCATTCCACTGGGTGTTGCTTGTCAACATTTACAGAGAGCAATTTTCCTCTCTTCACATTTATTTATCATTTAGCAAAAGCCACCTTAGCTTGTTTGTACTGTACTTGTAAATACTCTCTTAAAAACTTGGAAGCTAAGATCCAGCTACTAGATTTTCAGGTTGCTGTGGCAGAACCTGCCCACTTTACTTCTCAGCCAATTAAAAAAAAAACAAAACCAAACCAAACCCTTAGTAAATAGAAAATTGGGAGGGAAAGAGACTTCCTAGAAAAAGGGATCACTTTTAATACTGAATGAAGTTGAACTCTCAAGCCTGTTGAGGGGATGAACCCTGCTGCATACTTTGATCCAGATTCCTGTTTTGTCTTGACAATTCTTTGAGCTTGTAAACAGAATCTGTTGAGAGCACTGGTGATGGCCAGAGCCCAGTTCTGTAGAACAGTGTTGTCTCCATTGGAATTAGCAAACGGGCAGACATCTCCGAGGCTGTACAATGCTCTGGCTGCTCTTCTCTGCTTTGTGTGAGTGGTTGTTGGCATGAGGCTATGAGGATGTGAAATTTGTGGTTGTTCTTTTGATTAATGAGATGTCTATAGACTTTCCAATGAGTGATCAAAGGGAGACCAAAATATTTCAGAACTCAGAGCACAGAAACTCGCCTTAAGGAAGAAATGAACACAAATAGAAAATTTAATAAATATTACAAATCTGCCAAATGAGCAATTATAAAAGTACTAATAAATATATTTTTAAGCTTACTATAATGAAGAAAGATGCTGACATAAAACAGAGGGGGATTTGCTCTGATTTCAAGTCTTTTATTTTCTAAAGCAAAAAAGCGTCAGTAGACAGGGAGGAATTTTCCCCACATTGAATGTTACAGTGAAAGGAATCCAAAATTTCAGGCACATAATCACAAGGTTTTGTAATGTAGTGAGTTTATGTACATCTGCTTAGCACCAGTCACTGACTGTGCCTAATTTTAGGTTCAAGCTTACACTTTGCCATTTGTAATAAACTTGATATGTATATGCTGAGTAGCTTAACAGACATCTGGTGACTTTTTAGGGAGAAAGAGTATGATTATGGGCACAAGAGAAAACAGATTTAATTACTGCAGCACCAGTTCTAGTAATGGAACATCCAAGTGAGTGAGTTGCTTTCCTTAGAACAAAAGTTCCTGCAATTTTGTACTGTGTGATTTCAAAAGTTGGACTTTGTAGTAGCAAGGCTTTAAAAAAAAACGAGTAGTGAAAGTAAGATTTTTAAAAATGTGGAGAAAAGTTCCAAGAGAAGCTGGGTAAGATGATTTCTAGGATGGTAATTTCCTATAGAAAACACAAATATTTTGTAGTTAAATGGTTTTCAGTTAAGACAGGAAAGAGCCAGGATCATCTTGCTTTTATTACTGGCATGTATCGTGTGCAACCTAACTGATCACTCATGTTAATACAGTAAATTAATGCTGAATGTTTAAGATATTTATTTTGAGACTGGAAAAGTCAACTTTAATGAATTTGAGTATGTGATTTTACAGGGGCATAGCAAATGACCAGCTTGTTTTGAAATTGTGGTCCTGTTACATTTCCTTAAAATTCAGATTTCACTATGATCAGCAATGTACTAAAATTAAAGAAATAAATTAATATATATTTTCTGGGTTTTTTTAGGGTGCAAAATTTGGACATTCAATGGGATTAAATCAGGCTGCTCCTCCACGTTCTTCTGCTCGAAGATCATTTGGAAGATCTAAGCGATTTAGTATTACTCGCTCTCTGGATGACCTCGAGGTAATTAACTTTCACTTACAATTTAGAAGTGAGTCGTAGAGAACTTGTAGTAGATAATGCTGATAATTGCTGAAAGAAAGTTAGTAATGTATTAATCTAATAAAGTAACTTACTGTCATATGACATTTTTGTGAGGGGAATACAGATTTCAGATATCGACCTTTTTCAATATTTCTTTAGTAGGTTACGTTGTGGCCATTCTTTCTGTGTGGAATTATAACTTTATTTTTCATATCACAGTTGGTTCTGCAAATCCAAACAATACACTTTTGCTTATCAAAAGGTTCATAATATCTCAGAAATGAGTATATCATGATATATAGAAAAATCAAATATTCATCATATTCTGGTTTTTGTTCAGCTGATGAATTTTGATAGCAGTTGAGAAAAGGGAATTCCTAATCAACTTGGTGATTTTGGCTCCTTTTAAGTGTAATATTATGCTGTTTTACATCTGGTTTAGCATCAGCTGATGTCTGGTTCTCAAAACCATATTGGCTTCGGAGAAAACTAGGAATGAAAAGCCATCCTCCTGTTCTACTGTAGGAATATGGCTTCATTATATCTTCACTCCTAGTGTGCCTCCTCAGGAAAACCCGACCCACAGTGATGTGAAGCTGAATGCAGAGATTCTTCCCTTAGCCCTTTAGCATGCTCATTTGGAGGAAGGCTGGTGTTTGGGGAGAACCAAAGATCTGTGCAGAGTTCTTGGCACAAGAGCCATGCAATGCAAACTGCACCACTTCAGCACGGAGGGAATGTGGTTCTGAGCCCTCCAAATGGGAAGGAGGTGTTTAAAAAGCATTTGAGATGGGAGGAGGGAAGAAGGAGACTGAGTTTTCTGCTGTGGGAAAATGTAGGAAGAGCAGCATTTCACTCTGAACTAAAGGAGAAGGGAGCTCAGTGCAGTGGATGTTCAGGGAGCAGAATATATGGAGGAGCTTCTGGCATGCTTAGGGAATGCAGGTAGGAACTGTAATTACTTATTTCTCAGATATTTTCTATTTTTCTGTTTTTCATAGCAGTCTATTTTCTCTGAAGCTTTTAAGTGTCTTGCTTTTTTTCTAGTTATAGAAAATACTTAATTTCTATGTACTCATAACTTTAATACAGTAACTGCATAACTTAAACACAACAAGAATGGGTTTAGGAACCATCTAGCTGCATCTTTCTTAATCAGAAAATGGTGGTTCTTCTAATTTCAAAAAGTTTGTTGTTATATATATCCAGTTTTGACAGAATTTCTGATTGCAGTAAGAGTGAATTCTCTCAGAATACCAAAGAATCTAGTGCTAGTAATTCACATGCAACAGGAAAAACATGGTTCTTTCCACAGTCTTACAGACTGAAATTTCATACAGGTTTTTTGCACATCTCATGTTTTGAATGTTTTAAACATAAAAAATAAAATTTAATTTCTGTTGTTGGAATTGTTTCACATTACATAAGTATTCATTAAAACAGGCACTTGGGACTTTCCATTAATTTCAGAAAGATGTGATAGTTACTGGCCTAAAATTCCCTTTTTCATCTCATTATGTCCTAGTTGGAATTCATTAGTGTCTGTAAACAGAGTAGCACCAACAGGAGGGATTGAGTCAATCTATGTCCCAGTGTTCTCATCATTGCTGAGTTACTTTGGAAGGGGAAACTTTCATTCCAGGTCACAATATGAACTGGACAAAGGAATGGTCTGAATTCAAATCTGTGTTTGTTTGGATGAATGCCCTTACTACATGTAGCTATGTGGGTGTGGACTGTTCTCTGTCCAGCTACTTCTTTTCACTTTGAAATCTTTTTTTTTTTTTGCTGTGCTTGCTGTAAGAGAATGATATTTTAAGATATCCCAGCCACCAGGAGAAACAGCAATCCAGAGAAGAATTTAAAAAGCTTTGTGTGTCAAAATAAAATAATGTTGAGGCATTTTAATTTTGGTTCAAAATTCAACACTGCTGCTTCAGCACTTGTCCCATGTACTCTAACACTTTGTGTAGTGGAACATAATGTTGTTAGTACATGTTTAGTTTATTTCAGGGCGTCTATTTAGGGTTGGTGGAAGAGGAAATAACAATAGCAGGAAATTCTTAGAGACTCCACCTTTGGAATAATGACCATGAGTGTATTGTATAGGCTACTTGCTTGCTTTTGTGTTCTTTTCAGTTGTCTTAGCAGACTGGATAAGGTAATAATCCAAACATGAAATTTGGAAGTTAATATGCTTCTCTGAGCTTGTGGGTTTGACTCCTGCTGGCATCCAAATTAATCTTCTAAATTGAGCAGTGTAAGTAGGTTCCATGGAATTTCTTTTATGGGCATTTGATGAACACTGCTCATTGCTTACAGGTCTAAAAAGGCTGTATTTGGATTTCTTTGATGATGTATGAACAGTGTGTGAAACACCAGCTGTCAGTGTTGCTGACTGCTGCCATAAGGTGGCGTGATTTCTTTGAAATTTGTTATTTATTTATTTTTCAAAGTATCTGTCAAAGAATACAGCATATTCATAGATATTTTAATAAATAAGAACATGATTTCATGAATAAATGTCACTTTTTCTTTTAACTTGTTAGATTACTTCTGGCTATATGTGCACAGACAGAACGTTTAAGATTAGAATTACTAGTATAGTTGCCCCTCCTTAAGGATTTTCCTCTTACCTACAGAAGCTGTATTATACATAGAAAAAACCAGACAAGTTTGTAGGATTAACGTCTAGCTGGTGTTTTTACTGATAGAAACTGTGCACTAGATTTTTTTAAAAATGCAGGGGTTGAGATGGCATGAGAGTGCAAAATTAATGGTGCAGTTGTGCTATAATTGTGGTAGGGAGAATGTCTCACAAAGCAGAAAATGCACAATGTTATTTCTGAACTGTGGAAATTGTCCTTGTTCACAGCAGGTCTGATTATGATTAATTAGTCTTTAAATTGGAACTGAATTCAGAAAATAAGCATGTCTAGGATGTGCCCTAGTTATGTTATATTCACAAGAAATGTATTTAGAAAATTTTCTTTAATTAATTACAAGAAACCTGGTTTTGTTAAGATCAGACTTATCTTTTATCTAGCAATAACTTTTCCTGTGTGAAAAATTTGTTGTTATGAAGTAGTGACCATTAAAAGCCGTGTTAACGTTCTGTGATTTGCACCAATTTTACTTCTTAGCATATTTGCTGATTCATCTTTTCAAGGTGTAACTTAAGCTAAAAGGACCTTATGATTATTCAATATTTGGCTTAATGAGAGGGCATGATCCTGTCTTTCTTCCCACTTTTCTTTCCTGTAGGTAAGTGCCACTACTCTCATCCTCTTGCACAATTCTACTCTGGAAAAGATGTTTGTAAATTTATAAACAAGTTAAAGATGTCTCTGTGACACTGCAGACAGTAGAACACTACCTATGTAAAAATTTACCTTAAGCACAGTAATTGTAATTCTTCTATTCATCAACAGGTTTGGTAACACTTTCAACTGTAGCCCATTCCACTCATCTTTTAATTTTTCTTGAAGTCTGTAAAAAAGGGGGAACCTTGCAGTATTTTCTTGAAGTTAAAAAATTTGGGTTCCTCCTCACCAAGAAGAAAATTCAAATCTGTTTTTTCCTGAAAATAATTTTGGTACTTGTACATTTTGTATTTCTCTGTGGTTGAAATTAGGGCAGAGTAGTATAATGAGAGACAAAATCTCTTAGGGAAACAAGTGTCAAATTCTGTAAGTATTGTTAAATAATCATTTAATGCAGAGATATTTTTAAAATTAAAGATGATTTAATTCTTTGAACTAAGTATCATGACAAGAAAAGATGGCTGTTGAAGCATTTCTTCTGTTCTCATCCTGTTTTGGAAAGCTTAAAGCTATATTGTATATTATAAACAACATTTGTTGTGTCAAATTTCTAGAGTTTAGTAATGTTTTCAAAGTTGGAATGTATCATGTATTCTTTTCAAAAATCAGTGTAAGGGCTTTTGTTAGAATGTTCCATCTTAATTATAACCATTAATAATGTAGTATTATTAGGTGTTAGATAATAATGCTTGGGTTTTTTTCCTGTTTTGTTAATTCTACTGAATCAACTTCTTTTTGCATTTCATCTGCTATTTGAAAGCAGACAGCACATCTCTTTGGTATGAGGTTTTTGTACTAATGGATGACATGTCTCTGCTGGATATTAGCTTTGGCATCCGTGGGTGGCAAAACTCCCCCTAAATGCTCTTTGGACTTAATAAGGAGTTTTTAAGTGGGTACCTGTTTTTGTTTTACTGATTTAAATAATCAGACAAAGCTTACACAGGGAGATAATAGCTTATATTAGACCAACTAGTATACTAGGAAAATCAGACAAGAAGATCTAAACATGCCCCAAACTTTTCCCACCCTCTCATATGATCTAATAAAAAGGATTAACTCTCCCTGCAGAGGTTGCTTTATTGATGTTCTTAGATCATCACCATGGCCACAATGCCACCACTATGGCAAGTATAAGTACATGTTTTAAATCAAGAGGCCTCTTCGTTCTCAGCTTTTAACAGTGAATTCAAAATTTGAAAAGAATGTATTGTTTTGTCTCAGACTTCACCAATTAGTTTATATATCTTTGAAGAAGGAAACATCATGCCAGTAGTATACATTTTATTTTTCTTCACAGATTGTGCTCTAGCATTACTGTTAGGTTTTTGCTAGTATTTTATACTATACCATATTTTTACAAAGATTTTCACTATCTACTCTTAAGTTTACATTTGTAGATGTTTTCATGGAAAGTTCTTGTGCTCCTGAAACTGTTTTGTAAAGTATCTGACAAAGGTGGGTTGGTCAACAGATCAACACAGTTGTGTGCAACCTCTTTATTGTGATTTTGAGGTGCTTATTTCTACATAAAGTCCAGAATGCTAAACTGTGCACTTTTTCCCCAGACACTGAGAATAATGGGATTTATTTTTTGTTACTTAAATTGGTGAAATGATCATCCTTCAGTAATGTTATTGTTGACTGTTTTCTCCT